CAATATTCATCCCAAAAGCATACGACAGTCCTATCCAGTAATATACCCTTCCGTTTATTTTCCCACTATATTAAAGCGATAATTTCATATTTTTAAGTCATATTTTTAAAATGTATTTAAATAAAGCCTTAAAATAGATGGTATCTATAAATAGTCCTACCTTGTTCAAGAATAATCCTATTAATCCTATAATTCATTATTGCCAGTTGAGAAATTGGCAAAAATATCATTTTCAACTTCAAATTCAGACGTTTGAAGATAGCTATTCCATGGGGGGGGGGGGGTAGAAATCAAGGGAGGCAATTATGTTATTATTTCCGGGGTGAATGATTTTTAAGTGTAGGAATGATACATATGATCGTATAATAGTGAGTTGACAATAATTATGTTTTGACTTTCTTAGAAAATATGAAATTCTCGCTGTAATGCTTTGTTTCATCATTACTAAGACTCGGCCCCTGGTAACTATAATTCTTATAGAGTTTGATACACATTATAATAATTTTTTATATTTCATGGATGTAGTATCGTTTAAATATGTTCTTAATGTGTATGAATGTTTTTTTTTATACAATCTTCTTTAAAAATAGTTTACAATTTCACAATTTCACATTGATACTGGGATTTTTTATTTAATGTACTTTTATGTTTATGTATATCCATTCTTAAAAAAAACCATCTTTTAAATACTTCATTGATTCAATACCGGATAATCTTATGTTATTTTTACATATAGTGCCGCTGTCCGGGCAAAATTTCCCTCATAGCATACTGTATGGCGTATGTCCGTCTTCATTAGCCCAGTTCGGAGCAGAACAGTAGGACGTTAAACCCCATTTCATTTCATTTTGTCTACACTAATCATGGTCTCTTATTGGGTTCCGCCTATGTAAGCATATCCACCGCTCAATCTAGCTGTCTTTATTATCATGTTGTCTTTGTACATAGTTCATTACTACCCAACCCGTATGGCTTCTAAATGATTATCTCTGATTGTATATACATGTTTGTCTTTAATTTGTTCCATAATTTGTATGGTTGTCATTCTTTGCTTGATAAAGACGAGAGAACCCTCGTCGAAACGTCGCTGAAATAAATCCGTCAAGTAACTTGTATTCCATATAATTGTGTCATGTGTTATTCTCATCCAGTTACTAAATACTGCTAAAACAATTTGCCCGTCCGAATTACTTCTGATTTCGTTTTTTTGTGTGTGTGTTCTTCTTGCAGACAGAAATGTATATTTTTTAGCAGTTTAGTTTAGCGGTTTCGGCTAACGAGCATAAAATTATGTCGGTTATAAAGATGACATGCACTCTTCCATGATTTCGAACCAATTTAATTGGTTTATTGTCGTTTTATACGTCCTCATTATGTGGACGTATTGCGTCACCCATGTCTGTGTGTGTGTGTGTGGGTGTGTGTGTGTGTGTGTGTGTATGGGTGTGTGGGTATGTCTCTGTGGGTCGCCTGCCAGGCGCATTTCTTAATGGATTGTCTTGACACTGTGTATACCTATCCTTTATACCCTAAGGATGATTCCCATTGTTTTTGGTGCATGCTTGCTCCCCAGGGTCAGTGCCACACCCATTTTTTGTATTTGTTTGTTGGTCATATATAGGAGGTATTTCTTAACGGATCATCTTTAAACTTTGCATACGTATTCCTTATACTCTAAGAATCACTCCTATTACTTTTTGATGCATGCCCAACCCCAAAAGACATAGCCATGCCCATTTTCTCTTTGTGTATGAAAACTGTTCATACGTATTCCTTATACCCTAAAGATGACCTCTATTAATTTAGATGCATGCCCGACCCCGTGGGGCAGAGCCACGCCAAATTTTGTGTGTGTCTTTGTGTCGGCTATGGACTACAATTATTAACAGATCCTTTTGAAACATTGCATACCTATTCCATATACCCAAAGGATGATCCCTATCGTTTTTGGTAAATACCTGACTACAGGCCACAATTTTTAATGGATCGTTTTGAAAATTGGTATATGTATTCCTTATAGCCTTAGGGACGCCACGACTCCCAGGGGCAGAGCCACACCCAATTTTTGTGTTTAGCGTCTGGAGGCTACAATTCTGAATGGATTATCTTGGAACGTGGTATACTTACTCTTTATACTCTAAGGACGGCAACTATTGATTTTGGTGCATGATCTGCCCCCCTCCACCACACACACACACACACGCACGCACGCACACACACACACACTCACTTTTTTTAAATATTTTGTCTGTAAATATTCTACAGGTTGCAATTATTAACAGACTTGGAACCAATTCAGTATGATCCATCATAGGGTTGTACCTGTTTATATTGGCCCATGTCCAACCCCTAGGGGCAAAGCTAAGCCCAATTGTTTGTGTTTTTTGACTATAAGCTGGAATTCTGAATGGATCAACTGGGAACTTGGCATATCTATTCCTTATACCGTAATTGGCAACTAGTTATTTTGGTGTGTGGTAGAAAATACCATATCAATCAAAACAGGAATGTGGACGTATATTGCAGCGGTTGCGATGCTCTTGTTCTCATAGACTGGACCGCAAGAAACGGAAATCAGACCTGCGTGGTACTAATGGAGGTGAGTGGCATTTCAAACCAGGGAAAAACGAAAGTTTTCCATAGCAACGACTTGCAATAATTACGGTAAAGATTGCCTTCTGTCATTAATTCAAAATCAACTCACGGCATACTTTCGACCAAATAAGGACGATGGATCCCACCACTGCACAAACGGTACAATCATTGCCGTTGTACGATAAAGTTAGACTTGTATACAGTCTATGACACTGGTGAAACATAATTGGATTTGTTTGAAAATAGTAAAGATGTCAATCGTGCCCACTGTATATATAAGACAGGACAAAGTAACCTGATTAATGACGTTATAAGTGCCTAAACTCATTACTACGTGGAAGAAATTCGACTGCGGGTGACAGTAATGAGATTTCTCTTGTTTCCCCACCAGGAGATCGGATAAGTCTTACAGCAATAATTGTCCCCTTTAATGAAAAAGCAATTAAGATGGGTCGAGGTGCTGATGCTGAGAAAATATTGGCTTTATAAAGGCGTGGGGGAGATTGGGGTTCGACGGACCGATTTTTTTTTATTTTACAGATAACTTTAGTTACAAATCAACGTGGTTAACTAATCTTTGCTACTTCATTCGTCAGACACTAACCTATAAACATACAGCGTTTCAATGCTATACCTTAAAGAAAAGTGGAATTATACCTATTTTTCTGATATCAATCAGGATGGCCCATCGGTCCTACTGGTGTGGGTCCGATGGACCCCTCATGGGGACCAATGGACCGTTCAATGGTTACAATAAGATATACAAACATTTAAGAGCTTTCACTTAATTTAATTAAAGAATAAACAAAATATATATTTTTTGTTGAAGTAAGATCATAATAACCGTCCTATTCAATATCATAGTCATCAATGGAAACATCAAAGCGAATAATTCCTTGAGGTCTTTTTGTGGTATTTATTTTTATTGGTTCGGGGGAAGCATGGCCACTATATTTGAGCGTGTTACAGTGTCAGTATCTTCAGCTATTGTCTCGATGAATAATGCATAGATGGTGTGCTTTTTAGCTCTTATGAAAAAAAATTTTCAAAGCCACCATTTTTATCACCATTCTTGATAATAGCAACATAGTCAGGGGATGGGGGGGGGGGGCTAAGGAGGAGAGGTGTGCAAAGGGTAAACATGCGCGTTAGATTCATAAGATCTGTCATTAATTCAAGTACAGTAGCGTGTTTCGATTCCCCACTTAAACGTGACAAGTAGGGTCGTCTGTCCAACCTTGTGGGTACTATGTAGGATTTTGTTCTCTTTCTATTTCTCGACATTATAAAACTCTAGATTATAAATTAGAAACCTATCATATGCACAATTTTCATAAAAAATATGACCAGGTTGTCCATCGGTCCCCACAGCATTTAAATATATATTTAGCTCTATTAACTGTAGAGTCAGTCACTGTGGCATTTGATTTTAAGCGCAAAGGCTATACTAGGCATATGTGTTGGTGTAAAGCACCACTTGATGACACTCAATTACTTTGGGACATGAAGAATATTGCAAAATATGAAAACAATACTTTTACTAAGGTTAAATGTACCTGTGGGGCTGTAAGGCAATGTATTGATAGCATTCTAGGCAAATCAGCAATGTATTCCAGGTTAGGTCAGGGCTAAATAATGAAGGCCGATAGAATTCGATTTTGCCATTCACATGTCTGATACAAGGGGTGGTCCATCAGTCCCATATGCCCATTGGTACCCACTCTCCCCTACTTGTACAATTTGGCTATTCAGATGAATTAGAGTATTATTAGACTCAAGTTGATCTATTAACTATACAATCCGTGTACTATCTATCAAAAACATCCGTACCGATAACCTATAAATAAAACCAAAAAAAATGGTTGACTATGCAATGGCTTATATCAAATCTGCACTGACTTCCATATTCATAGAAAAGTAATCAGTTTGTGTAATATTTTAGTAATAGAATAAATGACGCTATAAATATTTACAAAAACATGGTATACATATAAAACAAATCAAATCTATCTAAACCATGAGTGTAGTGTTTGTTTGTTTTTCTCGTTTCAAATATTGTCGTCTTGTATATACATGTGAAGGTAGTTTTTCAGATAAATATTGAACTTTAAACCTTGTATCAAGACTACCTGTAATCACGTGATGTAATTAGATAACAGCTGTGACATTACCTAATTTACATATTGTCTGGTAACAGAATTGGCACGCGGTTATCAAGTTCATTTGATCAGGGTATAACACAATGCAAGCAGAGGCATTTCACCATACCATATTATCAACGAATGTCCTAACGTACGTGTCTAAAGGTTTTAAATACATGTACCTACTCATGTTTACATATTGATATGATGTTATTAATCTATTATTAGTAGTTACAGATGTGTTATGCTATATACCTCTGATGTACATATGAAAACGAAGGCTAGTTCTATGGTTTCTAGACGGGGCAGCAACACGTAACGCGCAAGCACGATGGAAGCCAGAAAACGTATAAAGCATAAGAAAAATCCAGAGAAAAAGGTAGAAAACTCATCCCAGTAAGTGTACAAATAACAACCATATTTAAAATCAATTGAACTCGTGGATTGTGATACATATATATCATGTCCGTTGAACAGCACGTGTCCGGGTTATTCCGACTAATCAGTTGTTTTTGACACACGACAGCCAGGGAAGCCTAGTTAAAACCAGTTTTTATTCTTCGTATAAAGGTCAGACCGACTAAATTGACAAAATCAAACAAATTATGTTAGATTCGGGCGAGCGTCACATTAACAGGACTACTCACCTAACAAAGATTTGTATTTTAAACTACATTCAGTTCAGGACATGTCTGTAACTTGACATCAAATTTTAATCTTGCCGTTTATCTCTTTGACCAGACTAGATTTAAAATCAAGTCATTTCGAGACTGACATCATATGTTTAATATTTTTTTTTTAAATTATTTTATTTAAATCTAGGATTGGGAAACAGGCAAATCCTATATAACCCCTCACCCCAAAATTGTACATGTACTGAAACAAGATACAGAGATTCACTTATGCACAGGATTATTTAAACATACATTATGCAAGAGCTAAATCTGCCTATTTCAGGTCTTTCTTTAGGCCTGAAATGTTATCTAAATTATTATTAATTAACCTATCCAGGCCGTTATCAACTCTAGATGGCAGCGCTAGCCTGCGATCTTTAGTGGATTGTAAGCCGATTTACTGCATAACTTTCCTTCTCGATTAAACGATTAAATGGATAATCGAGACTATGCTGTTTATCGTACTGACTTTAGTAATGATGACCGAGGCTTATGGGAATTTCAGTCGCTTAGTTCTCGGTTCATAGTGGACCAATTTGAATGAAATTTTCACCAAATTGCCTTTACATTATCTAGTTTTTAACTATTATAGTGAGAACTGCCAACCCGTTACCGATCTCCCATAATGTATCTTTAACAGTTAAGGGGTGATGCGAAGCCGGAATAGTCACGAACTTTAACGAGCGTCTTTAGCCATTGGCATGTGTAGGTGGGGATAGAACTCGTGACTTTGCATAATAGATGTCTGACCTGATTTACAGTTCACACAATGGACCACTGGTTCCTCCCCCCCCCCCAATATTTCAAACTCAGCTCCCCTTGACAAGGAAAGTTTTACTATCGTCAGTATGATAGGATCAACGGAAGCCCTATAAGTACAAGCCATCAAAGAAACGAAAAGTAAATTCCATAAGTTATGGGAGATAAGATAAAGAGATGGCAGTTCTCGCTATAACAGTTAAAAACTAGATAGTGTAAAGGTAATTTGCTGAAAATTTCAGTCAAATTGATCCACTATGAGCCGAGAAAGAAGCGGGTGAAATATTTGCATAGTCTCGGTCATCATTACTAAAATCATTAATATAAACAGCATAGTCTCGATTATCCACTTTTTTGATTTAATTATCAATGGCCGTTAGCGGCATATAGGAATCTAATCCAGCCAACATCGAAGGCCAGCCTTGACATCGAGAGTTTATTATGATCTGGATAAGTTAATTAATGTCTAAATGATAATTTAGATAACATTTCAGGCCTAAAGAAAGACTTGTAATAAGCAGATTTTGCTCTTGCATAATGCATGTTTAAAATGGTCGTTTTTCTTGGAACGTTAAATCATATTCAGTAATTGTGTCAGTGATTGAGGATTTGGTTTACCAGTACCCTGAATGCCCTTGCACGCCTATACTTAATGGAAGTTATTGACCTCAAGCTCATGAATGTATAATATTTTTTGTGATTATCGGTGAAGATTATTACAGGTTACAAAAATTGCATTATAATCTCGTTTCGCTTTGAACTGATCGCTTGATAATTGGGTTGAGGTCCTCATCAATTGGATTCACGTCCTGACCATTCATCACAGGTACAACACATTCAAATATTCAAATATCAAGTTATATTTTCCTCTCCTGTTTAAAATAATGAAGTAAAAAAGGATGTAACCTTTTCTGCTCCAACCCTGCTAATGAAGAAGCACATACGTCATAAAATTTTAATTGTCAGAGGTTGTTCTGCAGGTACGTCAGTTTGTATACGGGGCCTACACTTTCTTAAATTACAACTGTCAAGGATTCTTTTGCGTGCATCCCAAAGTGCATACGGGACCACTTAGTACGACTAACCGACGTTCCGCGTCAGACCGTACAGGACGCACCACAAACATGGGAATACCACGTTGTAATTTCCCGAAAGGGGATTGGGGATGAGTCGTACAATAAGGTCTCTTATTGATTCAAGTTGAGTGGTTTCGATTCCATGCCTTTACATGACAACCCAACGTAATGGGTTTGCTCCTTGTCCTCTCTGGTTTCCCCCTACTGCTAAAGACCCTCACGCGGATGCGAATAATTGAAATAAGATTTACTATTTTTAGCTGACTTAAGCCACCATTTCTAGTATGTCTAAAGCGGACAATCTATCAGAATACAGAACTGGTTACGAGACTGGATAATATTAGTCTTTTGGGATTATTTTTTGTCTTTTTTGCAAGGTTTATTTTGACCGAAATAAAAGGAAACAATGTATTGATAATGTCCCGGTATGCAGTCTATCCAGACCGTAAATCGAATTGGGCGTCAACTATCTGGGCATATTATGTTCATTACCTAGCAAGAAGGCTATGTTTTAACTAGGACGCTTTTACATACATTCTCTTGATATGATCCAGGGAGCCGCGTTGACTCGGTGAGTAACACACAAACTCGCTAAACAGAAGTCCTCGGATATTTTCTCTCGGGGTTGGGGTTGAACATGCCCGTCTTCATATAGCCCAGTCGGTGAAGAACAGTAGAACGTTAAACCCATTTCATTTCGATTCATTTGATATGCTTCACGCTGTCACTCACACATAACAATGTAGTAAAACAGAAAACAACAAATATTAGATCTATTTATGCTTTTTTTAAAACAATATTTTTATTCATTAAATCTGAATTTGGATTGGGGAACAGGCTAAGCCTATGTGTAACCCCTCTCTCTGATTTAGATACATGTACACATTATAAATATATACATACATAATTACATGAATATAGAGCATATGATACATAATGGATAATATAAAGACTTAGATGAATGTACAGTGTTCGGGACTTGAGATAACTTAAGGGTTGTTTTATGGAGATTTAAATCTTTTTGATAAAAGAATAAATTGTTGGACTTCTTGGAAAATGAGTGTGTTTATCTAAGGACTAAATTTTGTTGACCCATGCAAAGATTGTTTTATGATTATGTTGAAGGTTATGGATTGTCTGTTTTCTTGCATCTGAATATAAGTGGCATACGAGTAAATAGTGTTCGGGATCTTCGAAGTTGTGACCGCAGAGGCAAGCAGGGCTATCATCGACGTGTCTGACGAATTTATGACCTTGTCGATTTGAGCAGCATAATCTTAGTTTAGGATGAATTATTTGTAATTTTCTTTTCCCTAGATTTTAATATGATGCCACGATGGTATCTAATGTATTTAGTGAATTTCCAAAGATAGCAAGGGATCGAGAGTTTCTAATTTCGGTTCTGTATCTGGTTTCCTTTAGTTTATCTTTGTTTCTAAGAGTATAATTGAGAGGAGTAGAGGAAAGTTCTAATAGGTCAGAGAGATATGATGGCGCGAGGTTGTTAATAATTTTATACATTAAATTTAATTTATGACGTCGACGTCTTTCCGAGAGTGGAACAAACCCAGTCTCTTTAGAGTAAGGCATGGCTGGTACCTCTAACCGCCCCACAGATAGTGCGTAGTACTAACAAATCCCGTATTGTTTTAACAAATAGATATTTATTTAAACCTTAAACATCAGGGGTAATATCTATAAAACTACACTTCGTATAAACATTACTTTATTTCTGATTGAAAAAAAAAGAAATAAATATACAATATTTATCTTTTGGCAACAGACATAATGATTTTCAGGCCATCATAATTAAACATACATTATGCAAGAGCTAAATCAGCCTATTTCAGGTCTTTTTTTAGGCCTGAAATGTTATCTAAATTATTAATTAGACATTAATTAACCTATCCAGGCCATAATCAACTCTAGATGGCAGCACTAGCCTGCGATCTTTAGTGGATTGTAAGCCGATTTACTGCATAACTTTCCTTCTCGATTAAACGATTAAATGGATAATCGAGACTATGCTGTTTATCCTACTGACTTTAGTAATGATGACCGAGGCTTATGGGAATTTCAGTCGCTTAGTTCTCGGTTCATAGTGGATCAATTTGAATGAAATTTTCACCAAATTGCCTTTACATTATCTAGTTTTTAACTATTATAGTGAGAACTGCCAACTCGTTACCGAATCTCCCATAATGTATCTTTAATCATTTGGGAACCGAATGGACCTTTTTCTGCAAAACAAAAACAGGAAAAAGAAATGGAATCGTATAGAATATATAATGTCATTTTTCATTACAAAACGTAATTTGGTCTGCGTTCTAAAAGGGCAATTGGGAGATCTTTATTTGTCAAATATCGCTTTTATTTTCACTTCTCTGAGGAAATACCGTACCCATGAAAACGAAAATTACAAAGAGGGCTTAAACATGTACAAATCAAGCCTGAAATACAATTTGCTTAAAGCGACAGGTAACAGCCAGCTAGAGCTCGAAGCGCGACACTAGACATCTAGGCCATCATAACTCTCCAGATATATGGAACACTCTAAACATTAATATACATCGGTGTGTAATCATCATTAAGGGCGGGTTGAGTAGTAATAAACTATATAAGAAAACATGAGAGTAATAAAACCTTTTATCAAGTGTTTAATGGATATTGATCTGACATTTACTTGAAATTATAGTGAACAACATAATATGGCTTGTCTTGAATTGACAGCTCCCTGTCAATGTTACAAGATGTCGGAATAAAAGTTAAAGATACATTATGAAAGATTAGATAAAGAGCTGGCAGTTCTCACTATAATAGTTAAAAACTAGATAATGTAAAGGGAGTTTGCTGAAAATTTCAGTCAAATTGATCCACCCTGAACCGAGTATTATGGAAGATTAGATAAAGAGCTGGTAGTTCGCATTATAATAGTTAAAAACTAGATAATGTTAAGGCAATTTGCTGAAAATTTCAGTCAAATTGATCCACCCTGAACCGAGTATTTAGCGATTGAATTTTGGGCCTAGCCTCGATCATCATTACCAAAGTCGGGACGATAAAAACAAAGTCCCGATTATCCATTTTTTGATTTAATCAGAAGCAGCATACCGGTTTCTAATCGAGTAAATATCGCAGGCTAGTGATGCAATCGAGAGTTGATCATGGTCTGGATAAGTTAATTAATGTGTAATTAATAATTTAGATAACATTTCAGGCCTAAATACATACATGTAGCTAAAGACCATACAATCAAACGTACTTAACGTACTATATGGACAAGGAACCGAGCATGAGGTCACCGCAGCAATCTTGGAATTGTGAATTAAAGCATGAAGTCAGTCTATCGATGCGCAACAGTTCGGGGACAACCATACCAAGTTTCATGTCGATCTTACCCAAATTCGCAGATGCTCAGACTTTATTCCAAGAGCGTCGCACCCAAAAGCAGAATACCAACCACAAGATGGGCAGATAGGGCACAGTTTCTGGTTCTAAAACATTTTGGTCTATGTACTATTCAAATTTTAAAATCTAACGTACATTGTGGCCGTTTTAAGTATATATTGTTTCCACTCCGCCATCTTTATCTCTCGAAGAGAAAATATAATGCTGCTACAAGCCAAATGATTCATCACGAAGATGTTGATACACTCAGATGTACGTTTAAGCATTAAAAATAACATAATAACAATTAATGTATTTCTTTTACAGTTGTACACAATTATTTATTTTAATTTTTTTATTTTTGGGATCTATGCGAACGATCTGGCTTGTTCAGCTTTTAACTACTGATATTTCCTGCATAAACATTAACAAAGATTAGAATGGAATATAGATATGAACTTTGATTATCACAAAAAATCATGACATTCTCATAATCCTTTGGTGATTGTTTTCCTATATAACCGTGTAAGTTCTGATATTCTCATAAATAGTAATACGGGAATATTGATTTCCGGACATCTAATGTTTAGTTTTGAAATATCAATATATGTTTAATAATGACATCTCTGTTTTTGTTGTGCATTTAAAAATCATTGAGTGTGTTTTGTCAATAAACCAAACTCCATATGGACATGTCATCGAAGTCATTAGTTTTCACATTAACTCGATTTTCAAAGGTTATGTAAGTAATCCATGTAAACGAATAAATTTTGTTCACTTATTCTCACCTCGCGTCTCAATTAAAGGGACTATCCCGATTTGAACAGAGTCCCAGAAATAAAAGTCTGAGTACGTTTGAAATTTAAGCCCTAAAATATAGAGGAATGGTGTATTTACATTGTATGAAAATTTCAACTCAGAATATTGAGTCGTTTGGACGTGAACGCCAAAACTGCTTATCCGGACACGTTACCCTTTTAAGATTTTAGGTCAGTTTTTTCGTTGGGTGACCTGATAATTGATTCCCGTTCCTTTAGAGGTCTATACAATGAATAACCGATGTGCTGTACTTGATAACGAAAGGTACATTTCACCTACACATTATTGTTATAAAATAAAAGTCTAGTTTTATCAAGACACCGCATAATATAGCTTGGGACACCGGTCTCCATTTCCAGACGAAGATTGGCGGGTTTAAGTTTTTTGAAAACGTATCACATATATTGAGTTAGTTGCTCGGGCCTAGGGTAGAGGATTTTAACACAAAATTAGACAGTTTTATTCTCGAAAATATTATCGGGATTGGCCCTTTAAGTAAGGTGACGTGATTATAGTAAATATTCAAAATAACATTAACAGGGGCGGTGGATCTAGAGGAGAGGTTGGGGCGGGCGTGGGTGGTGGGGGACGGTCTAACAGGGTGTGGATTTTCTCTCTTTATGTATGTATGCCTACGTAATTTGGAGGCGATGATGGCATCATGCATTGTAAACTGTCAAATTTCCTTAACAGGAACCTGGCAAACCCCCTTCTGTAACAATTCCTGGATCCGCCCCTGGTTAAGGTTTTCTTTCTGTGCAGATCTAATGGAAAAGGTAACATTCCAAAATAACACTTATGTTTTCTTTCTTTTCAGATCTAATGGAAAAGGTAATTCAGCAGATAATTTCCATTTTGAGATTTGGTTGTTGTTGGCTTTGGAGAACTGGATATTTGATTTCGGAAGGCCGATAGCAGCAGTGAGTAAGAATGAAATGATCTGTCCATTTTGTGGTCTGGCCTATAGTCCGAAGGTCCCCTAGTTGGAATTTCCGCTTTTCCCAAGGTCCGTTGGTCAGTGATATTGCTAAAAGGCTTCCATAGTATTTGGACTTTTAACAGAATATTGTCGGACCTTACGACAATAGCTATGCACACTTACATTATTTCATAATCAACTAGTTTTCGGGACAAACCTTCGGTTACTATGTGAGTTGATCGTCTGTGTTTAAAACATACGGGGGGTGGATGGCTGAATGGTTAGCGTGCGCGTGCTGTATCATAAAGTCTGCCATTGAGTCGACCGGCGTGGTTTCGAATCCCCGGTGGTACGTGGCAAGGAGTAGGTCACAAACTAGGTCATTTCGGGACTAACATATGGTTTAATTTTATTTACATAATTCGCTTGCGCGCAGGGGTCTTTAGCAGTGGGAGGAAACCGGAGGACCCGGAGAAAACCCACGAGGTTGGACAGGCGAGGTCAGAGAAGATAAAGGAACCAACTGGTTATGGGTAGGGCAAGGGTTGGATTTTTGAAAAAGTCTGTAGCCGAAACATTATACATTCACCTCTTTGTGAGCCGCGGTGGCTCAGTGAGTAAAACGTTGGCTCGCTAACCTGCGACGAGAACGTTCATCGGGGTTTTCCGGCGTGGTTCCCCTTGTCAGTGCAGGACAGATGACTTAGCAAGAGACGAAAAACGGAGGTCCCGAGTACACATTGGCGTGCAAGGACATAATTTCCGTCACAGCACACTGTAACCTATGGTGTATGGTGTATGTCCTCATTAGCTGATTCTGAGCAGAACAGTGGGACGTTAATTAAACCCAATTTCATTTCATTTCATTTACTTTGTTGATATAAGACCTTCCTGTCAAACACACAATGGGGTATCCCTCGTTCCTCTATATTAAACATAACCGGGTTATTGCTGCTTATGACAGTTCATTGATTGGATTTGTAGATTTTTTTATTAGATTATATATAAATATAATATGATGATGGTTATTTTCAGTCATATGTTCCTCTGGAATGGTCTCCCTTGAATCGTATGAGTGTTGGTGATTATTTTCATATGGCGTATAATGTAATAACACCTTTCTGTTTATTAAAGGTAAACTACTTTACACTATTTTATACATTTAACCCTCGAAAATATACTTTTATATAACAGGTCTACGCCCCACCCCGCGTTCCCCGTTTTTTTTTAAATTCTTTTTCTTTTGTGTGCGTTTTATCTTCTATGGCATCCCTTGTCAGTGATGCATGACGGAGGGTCTGGCAAGGAACAACCTACATGTATAGTCGTTCGGATCGTACTAAATGCCGAGGTCCGGTGTACACATTGGCGTGCATGTAAAAGAGACCTTGACAGTTGGAGACCGTAGTGCCGCTGTCCAGATAAAATATCCCTAATAGTACTCTGCATGGCGCATGTCCGTCTTCATTAGCCCATTCGGCTCAGAACAGTCGCACTTTAAACCCCATTTCATCTCTTGCATACATGATTATAATTTTTTAAAATGTATTTTTAAATAGTTATTAGAAAAGAGTCCTAAAAAGATATCTTCAACAGTAACGTATCTAACAGTTATAACATTTGTGATGGGTGCCAGTATTCATTTGGTTGGAGACTCGATTAATCATAGACTAGGTCATGTAGGATACCTGCATCATCTTTCAGTCCGGGATAATCCCATCATGAAAACTCTTCAACCTCCAGGTTTGGTAAGTTTAAGTTTCTGCTATTGTTGGTATTGTTATGGTATAATCTTTTATATTTTCGACATCAAATTCATGTCACAAAAAACATCACGAATAGCAGGTACCTACTCTACACGCTATAAAAGCATTCGGCGCAATCTTTTTTGAAATAACGACGGGGTTATAATGAGAGGCCATATTGCCCATATTTGAATAAATCGGATTGGCCGAGAGCATGTTACTTTTAATTGGATCCAATTTTATCCAAGTATGTCATATAAGTCTAGTTTAACTAAACATATCCGACTACAAGTTGTAACTGTAAAAGATTCCGAAGGAATATTAAACTACTCTAACCCGGTCTGTGTATTGTTTTAATTAAATTTCGGTATAGATATAATTTACATCTGTTACAGGTAAATTGTTTTGAATTACTTTATTCATTTGATGAAGAGATCGGACATCTAATGTGGTAAGTGATGTATTCTGTATTAGGCTTCACATGTACATATATAACATGTAATTAAATCTGTATATGATAAACTTCGATTTAGACAAGAACCACCTACAGGCATAACTACCTGAAAACCATTCTAAACAATAATAATTAAGACCGTAGACATCTAAAGTAGATTGAGTTGGGTGGGTGGAAAATTCACGATTAGGATCATGGGACATAACTCGACATTATGAATTATCAAACTCTATTAAAGTAAATTCGCGAATTTTCTGATTTTGCTTTTCTTGCAGGTACATTCCCTTCTTCTTCAGTTTATTTCTGTATTTCATGGGGTCGTTTTTGCCATCAAGTAAAGCCAGGAGTAGTCTAGGAGTCCGTCATTGGTTATTGTTAATATTTAGTGCTGTATATTATTGGTATGTATACATAGTTTTGTTTTATTTTTTCGATCTATAATCAGCATAGTCCCGTAGGTCGCTTTCACGTTAATGACTATACTTATGCCTTGATATATGGGGAAGGCTCATTGGACCTCGCGTAAAAAAAAGTTGCCCCAGTTGACCGAGTTAACATCCTATATCCTTGCCTAAAGAAATATTTTCTGACGCCATCAAGACTATCAGATTTGTCAATATGTTGTTCCCAGGCTTACAAATTGTGATGTTTTTTAAGACGTTGGTTAAATTTGTATATTTTGTGTTTCAAAATATTCTGTTTCTTCCATTTCTAAATGTCAGTGGTTCCTCTAGTGACGCCACGAACACAATCTTTAATTTATTGGGAAGTTTTTACGGAGGCATATTATAGAAAGTCTCTGAAAGTTAATTATAGTAACTGTCATAGTTGTCTATTTAACTTTAGAATATATAAATAATCAGTTAAAGTAGGTCACACAGTAGACAAAGTAGGTCACCCTAAACATGTATCCTTGGTGAATAAAGCGCTGAATCGCTAACCTAGAGGTTCGATCCCGATGTTGACCAAGAAAGTACTTTCGAAGTTTCCATTGTAGTAAAGTTCGGTGTCTTGTCGTTAGTATGTGACGAGAACCCGAGGTCCCGTGTACATTTTGCTGTGCACATAAAAGAACAATTGGCACTTGGAGATCGAATCAAGAGTAGTCCGCAATGCCGCTGCCCGGGCAAAATTGCCTTCATAGCACTTTGTATGGTGTGTGTCCGTCTTTATTAGCCCCATTGGTGCAGAGCAGTAGAGAGAGAGAGAAATGGGGTTTAACGTCCACTCGACACAAACTAGGTCATTTCGGGACTAACATATGGTTTAATTTTATTTACATAATTCGCTTGCGCGTAGGGGTCTTTAGCAGTGGGAGGAAACCGGAGGACCCGGAGAAAACCCACGAGGTTGGACAGGCAACCCTACTCCTTGTCACGTACAACCGGGGATTCGAAACCACGCCAGTCGACTCAATGACAGACTTTATGATACAGCGCGCGCACGCTAACCATTCAGCCATCCAACCCCCGCAGAGCAGTAGGACATTAAACCTCTATTATGTTTCAATTATATATATAATCCAGAATCCCTCTTGCCCCACCCACTCAACCATAGTTCTATGCATGTAAACAAGACTAATTTGACCTGTTTTCTTTTTATGTTGACAGGTATTTGGTAACCGAAGGACAAATATTTTCAGTTTATATTTTAACGTTTGTTGCTATGGTCATAGCAGTTTTAGTGAATTTTTCACAAGGCAAGAAACCAGATATTAATGGACGATTTTTATTTTACACATTTAGTATGTCTCTTGTACTAATAGCAGTCTGGGTGATGTTTCTCTGGGACGATGAGGTCATGAGAAATAAATACCCAGGCGTAATATATATTCCGGAACCGTGGTCATTTTATACGTATTATTATAAAGACTATATATTTTAACTATTCGTGAATCCAATGTTTTGGGGATGTTTTTATTATAAGTGTAATTTAAATATACTTGTCATCCTTGCTCCATCTTGCGTTAAATTATTGACTTTGAATAGTCACATCCCATATTTGTCATCTTAACGCTACGGATTCAGCCAATTTGCGTTGTACGGTCAATACAGGCTGATATTTGCAATTATTTTCTCCATTCTTCCATTTTGAATGTAAATATACAGGTTATTTGGGTGTACAGAGTTGCTTGATTGATGCTTATTGTCGGAGACGTTGAGACGGCATAAATTTAAACGAAATTGGGTTTAACGTCCCACTGTTGTGCACCAACAGTTGTATAATGAAGACAGGCCGTAGAGTAATTTTTGCCCGGACAGCAGCACTTCGGCCTACTCTTATATCGTATTTCAACTTTCAAGGGTTCTTTTACGTGCAAGCCAATGTGTACACGGGCTTCAGTTTTTCGTACCATCTGAAAGAATATACGTTGTCCCTTGCCAGAACCTCCATTCTACACCACTGACAAAGGGGAACCATACCGGGAAACAACATTCTCGGTAAACACAGGGATCGAACACGGAACCTCCGGGTTAGCGAGTGAAGGTCTAACTCATTGCCCCACCTTGACTCCCCGTAGAGGCGATGGTAGGGGTATTAGATTTGCGTGGAAGTAGTCTTATTTTCTTCTAATAACAGGCATGGTTTCAATTTTGATTTGAGAAATCATATATACATACAATATTAGGGTTCATCCCAGATATATGTTAAACTGGAGGTAAATCGGCGACTTGGTGGTGCTTTATTCTGAACAGTATATTTGTCTATACTTGGATCAATATAATTATTACACACGTCCCTTAAAGATAAAACGCTGCACAACGCAAAACATTTTCGCTCTATTATTTAATACGGTTTTTTTATACAATATGCGCGTAAATTATATAATACAAAACCATAACAGCTAGGATTTAAAATATACGAGATAACTGATAAATACAATTCGAAAAGAAAACAAAATTATAGCATCACATTTTTTTTTAACTACGGGCGAATTGTTAATGTGACAAGATGTGTGTGTTGGGGTGGGGTGGGGGGCAAAAGAGAGTTTAACGTCCATTCCACACAAACAGAATTGAAATGAGATAAATACAAAAGTAAAACAATAACAGATAACATAAATGAAATGAAATAGGGTTTAACGCCCCACTGTTCTGTCCCGGCTGGGCTAGTGAAGACGGTCATCACCATACAGTGTGCTATGAGCGAAATTTTGCTCGGACAGCGGCGCTACGGCCTGTTCTTATACCGAATTCCAGTTGCCAAGGGACCTTTTACGTGCACGACAATGTGTACACGGGACCTCAGTTCTTATGTTCCATACGCACGACTATGTGTTGTTCCTCGGAGAACTATGCCGGAAAATCCCAATGAACTTTCTCGGTCAATACCAGATTGAACACGGGACCGCCAGGTTAGCGAGCCAACGTCTTACTCGCTAAGCCACTGCGGCTGCATCGACACAAAGTAAGTCACCTGAGACTAGTATATTGTTTAATTTTAGGATGGAGAGGCTACCATACAAGCTGGTGACCGAAACCACGCCACTTGATTCGACAGACCTTATAATCTAAAGCGCATTCGTTGCCCCCACCCCTGCTATTTTCTGCTTACCCTCTTCACGCAGACATGACCTGGTACAAAAAAAAATATGAAACTGTTTTCTACCTGACGTTTTCTAGTTTTATCAAATAGAATATAATTACATGTGCATTATGTAATATAATGCAATATTTATGCAAATCAATTGTATAAATGCATAAAATGGCTATAAAATAATGGTAATGTTCACATATATACATTTTAGATAAAATCATATAACATCTGTGTGCATAAAAAACCTGAATATTTAAAAACGCGAATAAGATATTTTAGAATCATTAATTCCATAGCAAAAGAAATTATCTGAAAGCACTTTCTAAAGGTAGTGTATTGGAATATAATATCAACAAAGATTACAATAAATATATATAAACATGTCCAGGGTGTTAGTAAAGGAACATTTTAAAATGCCAAAGCTAAAGTTTTAGCATTATTATTCAAGCTAATCGTAAATTTTCTCATTCAGGTAAAGATATATTATGGGAGATTAGATAAAGAGCCGACAGTTCTCACTATAATAGTTAAAACTAGATATAGTAAAGGCAATTTGCTGAACTTTTAGTCAAATTGATCCACTCTGAACCGAGAATTTAGCCATTCGACCATCATTACTAAACAGACATAGTCTCGATTATCCATTTCATGATTAAATCATGAATGAAAGTTGAGCTTCAAAACGGATCCTAATCCATTAAATATCACAGGCTAGCGATGACATCGATAGTTGATTATTGTCTGGATAAGTTAATTAATGTCTAATTAATAATTTAGATAACATTTCAGGCCTAAAGAAAGACCTGAAATAGGCAGATTTAGCTCTTGCAATAATGTATGTTTAATTTTAAAAATTACTGCAACCTAAATATTGATACGTTCCCAGCTGTCACTGTTAATCTGGGAACATGGAAGATAAAAGTTTCTAGCAAGAGTCCTACTAACTTCAGTAAAGATTTACAGTGAACTTTACTTGGATTATTCTTGTTGTAGACAGAAATTCAAGTTAAAGTTCTGCGCTGACAGATTATTTGGAATTTTTAGTCTGAAGACATAAAGACTAAAGTTTATCACAAATAGATGTCTTATATAGTTTTCCTTTTCATTTGGTGGTCATCACAGAATCACCAATAAAGCGTTCTGCTTCAGTCTGTTGCATATTAAATGGTTCCCACATAGCCCACATTAACTAGATACAGCTCTAAACGGATTCGAAGGATTTCTTTATAATTGAGCTGGTTGGTTTTCTAATGCTTTGTCTCCTCTTTTTCAACATGGAATCTTTCTTACCTATAGCTTGGATAATAGCCTCTAATTTCTCCTGTAAATATATAAACGTATAACTGTATATCCCGATTATTAAGGACGAAACAGATGAAACGGGCGTTAATATGTCTGGTTTGCCAATTAGAGCTATGGGTAACGTTAATGTATGGAACAAGATGTGATGTGCGGGTATATCAAAACAGATTGCGTTGAGAGGAGATATAAACTGGGTTAAGACTGGTAAGTGAAAGACAAAATTATTGTAAATTGAATGAAATTTGTTCAGATGTCTATGTCCATTTTAAAGATGTTTCTCTTAAGTATTTAGGTAGGTTTATCAGGTGAAAATTAAGACGATGTTTAGTAATTTTAGAATTCCTCTCCTTTTTGCGAATTTCAATTAGAATTAATATCAAACCTTAAACATTTCATCCTTTCTCTTCATCAATCTCCTTCTACCCCATGACTACAAAATACAAAACACCACATACTACTACATCATCATATTCTAAAACTTATTCTATGTTATAGGGGCACGTATATTACACGTTTTGAAAATAGTATGATCATGTCTACTTCCTTTACCTATTATTTTAAGTTCCAGTGAGGGTTGGCTGAAACGTTCTAAGCATGAAACGGATAGATCAATTGAGTTGAAACAAACTGAAAAAGTAATTAGTTGGTCGCCATTTTCTTAGTAATGATGACGCCATGTCAACTGTAAACGACGTTTTTAGGATGGCTGAAACAAATGTCTTCCTGACCGGTATCCAGACCTTGCAGCATCGTTGGGATAGCAAAATTATGTACACCTCGAAGGGGACTGTGTGGAAATATAAATGGTAACCACAGACTTTGTACGGGTCTTTCAATGACAGGCTTAGAACTTTTTAGCCAGCCCTCGTACAATTTCTCATTAAATCTTCAACGAGATCTCTCTGAAGAAGAAGGAATTAAGAGTTGTGTTTTAGCTCTGTTGTCTTCCACAATGTGAAGCCAAATTAGATATGGAATTCTATTACGCATGTTGTTTCTGGGTAATTTGTATAACACTATACGTTCACCTGAATTTTAGACAAGCCCTCGATCTTACCTGGAGACGAGTGAGGGACAATGGTTTATACCATGTAACTAATTAAAACCTGGGGCTAACTATTCATTTTAGGGCGCGTTAGCAAATAGTTTGTGAATTAGCGGTTTGGATACGAAAAGTAATGTATTTCGTCGATTCGACTTACCTTTTGGTAAATCCAAGTACCGAATATAAAGTGAGCGAGAACGTAGGTGGTAAGGAAGCACAACAGAGCCTTGAGGTCCAGATCTCGAGCCAATTTGTCCATATGTGCCGCATGTAATCGTCCTATTACTGAATGCCAGATACACACTACACATATGTACACCATAGATGACAAGATATACTTATCCTGAAATTACACATGTAAAAGGTAGATACTAATAGTTGATACATATACAACTTGGTTAATACTATATCTAATGTTAGCAGTTCATGCTTCATACTTTGTGTTGTATGTCATGTTGTTCTATGTTTTGTTTAATAGCTCATGCTTTGAGTTGTATGCCATGTTTGTCTATTTTTGTTGAATATCTCATGTTGTTCTCTACGTCTTGTTTAATATCCCTTTGTGTTCTATGTTGTGTTTAATATATCATGCTGTGCTCTACGTCTTGTTTAATATCCCATTGTGTTCTATGTTTTGTTGAATATCTCATGTCGTTCTCTATGTTTTGTTTAATATCCCATTTATTCTATGTTTTGTTTAATATATCATGCTGTACTCTACGTCTTGTTTAATATCCCATTGTGTTCTATGTTTTGGTTAGTATCTCATTTTCTTTCTCTGTTTCCTTTAATATCTTATTTTGTTTGTTTTAATATGTCATTTTGTTCCCTGTTTTGTTTGATACGTCATTTTGTTCTATGTTTTGTTTGATACGGCATTTTGTTCTCTCTTTTGAATACTATGTCATTTTGCTCTATGTTTTGTTTGATACGTCATTTCGTTCTATGTTTTGTTTGCTGCGTCAGTTCCAAGCTTTTGGAAAGGGAGAAACAGCAAAAACATATTAATACTATCAGGGAAAATGAGCAAAGTATATGCATCTTATCAGGGGCGGATCCCCCTGCTCAGCTACATAAAAGTTTTTGTAAATCAGTACTTTTTATGAGAAAGGTTTCTCGGCCGTGTACTTTATCATTTATCGTCAGATGTGGGACAGCATGGGCACTCAAAGCACGAGATAATGATATAGACATCATGTAGTATCACAATTAATGCTTTGCATCCTTGAAATTGAATGACAAAGTCATTGTATTAATTCATAATAAAAATTTACATCAAACGAGGTGTTGAATTTCTCTGTTTAAAAAGCTCAATGTGTATGTATATACGCCAAAATGACCATAGAGAACATGCGGGAGGGGGGGGGGTACATTGTCTCAGGAACCTGGCAAACCCCCTCCTGCAAAAATTCCTGGATCCGCCCCTGCTTATGTTTGTATACAGATTATATTCAGGAATAGTTTACTTTATAAACCAATACAAAGAATAAAAACGAAATGGGCCTCGGTGAGCTTATTACAAGAAGTTTCATTTCTATTCTACGCAATTTATTTCATTGTATAAGATACGTATTTGATATTTCAAAATATTTAATTTATGTCAGCACAAAAAGCACCAAGATTTTATTAAAAGGCCACTCCCGTTAAGTTATGTCCGAGTAAAGAATTTTCGTTCGGCGCAAGATTCAGCGACGGCCAAATTTACCGCTTCCAAGCGTAATATTTAATTTAATATTTAATTTAATATTTATGTCAGCACAAAAAGCAATGAGATTTTATTAAGAGGCCACTCCCGTTAAGCGGTCAGTTGTGAAAATTCCCTTGGGTGGCTGCTTAATGCAGATTCTACTGTATACAAAAATAGGTCACCGATATTCAATTTATTCCCCTGGTATTTACACTTCTATCATTTACTTGTTAATGGGTCCGCATGTGTAAGAGATGTCATGTGACGGGTTCACGTATAAATATAGACTTTTGGTGGTAAAATAAGGTAACATGTTCCTTGTAAAAGGACAGAAATTCTACCAAAACCACAAAAAAAATTTGAATTCATACAAATATGTTTTGTTACGTATCAAATATTCATGTAATAAGACAGATTTCTTACAGTATAGCTAAAAGTGTTATTCTATTTACCGTCTTGATTAGCCCAGTCGGTGCGGCCCAGGCGGAGTAGAACAGTAGGACAATACACATTTTATTTCATTTCATTTATACTCATACTGGCATGCGGGTAAAATTACCCTTGGCTTACGTTTTGTTTTGTTGTTTGTGTTATCTTGTATTTCTAGTTCATTAGTTAGTTTGGTTGCCCATTGGTACTCGTTTTTGTCCTTCACCATTTTGTTTACATAACAGTGTAATTATTGGAACAATATCACCGCCAATTGTATTGATTGTCGTGGGCTTATTTGCATTCAACTGAGAACTGTTGATCTGGGCGAGTGATGAACCTATTTCTGGCAGACTATTCTAACGGAGAATATATAATTTAATAAATGCGGGCACAAATGGAAAACAACGATATTTCACAATTTGTAAAGCAGTCATCGTCACCTTCTATGAAAACAGACCGTATCTGCGTTCAGTGGATAATGGCAATCAAAAGCTAACATTACGTAACGTTCTCTAATAGTGACCAAAGTCCGAACATAAAACAATGAAATGAAAATGGGATTTAACGTCCTACTGTTCTGATCCGACTGGGCTAATGAAGACGGGCGTACGCCACACAGTTGCCCGGACAGTGGCGCTACGACCTACTATTATATCGAATTGCAACTGTTAAGGGATCTTTTACGTGCACGCCAATGTGTACACGGGACCTCGGTTATTCGTCCCATCCGAACGACTAGACCTTGTCAGGCCCTCCTCCATTCTGCATCACTGACAGGGGAAAACCAGGCTGTAAAATCCCAATGAACTTTCTCGGCCAACACAGGGAGCGAAGTCGTGACATCCAGGCTAGCAAGCCAGCGTCTTACTCACTTAACCACTGTGGTTCCCCAGTCCGAACTTATAGGGTATTCTATTATAGTTGTGTATACTATATAAACTTTAATTCGCTATAGAATAATAACGGTCTCATGACATGAATAACTTATGTAACAATCAATATTATTGTATGAAGTCTGATAGAATTATAGACGTGGGTTTTATCGGTGTATTATTTAGCTGTTATATTATTGATCAAGCTATTAGCGGCTAAACTAACCCCCTATCTAGGGAATTAACACAACTCGTCTTTTTTCACAAAATATCACAAATATTATCCATGGTTCTATTAACCCTATAATTGTCACCGCCGCCATCATTAACGTAGTTTTATGTTCAAATTCACATGAGAAAACACTCAACATTTCGATCGTTTAGAAATTAGATCTTTTTATAACCGTTACTTGGATACGATAGAAATATTTATAGACTTGCAGCATTACGAGGATATTGTTGTGTGGACTTTCAAAATAAATTAAAAGTGTTTCCGTACACTAACCATCAGTTATTCTACTTCAGTATAACAAAATAAAGCAATTACTTAATAAAAGGTAACCTCGGGGCAAACGCTTATCGTCAGATTATTTGCACTGTTGTCGATTCCAGCATTTTAATGTGGGGGGGGGGGCATGAATTTGAGCTAAACAGTTTTCATGACACGCATAACTCAAGACTGGTTAGGCTAGGGACTTTCATATATCTAAAGTCTGTACAATTAACCCAAGTTTTCGACTCTTCCCAATGCCGGGAACGGCTTTCTTTGCCAGTCTCGAGGAACATTTCACTGCCAAGTTAATGTTAGCTGGCTACCTTACCAATACGACGATGTTTACACGTTTTGGTGTCAGCGATCTATGTATAACTCTTAAACAGCTGACGGAGTGCGTAAAGCCTGTTTTCCACAAGGCGAATTTTTTCGCCGCGAAAGATTTCGAGCAATCGCGCTTGTATTTTCCACTACACAAGCGATTGTTTCGATCATTCTTTGTTTCAGAACAGAATTGGCGCGAAAGGTTTCCTTCCTGAACTTCCACAATGGCTACTGCTTTTAATCTGAGATATTTACTCTTGTTAAAGGTAAGATTCCGTGAGAGTTTACGGAATTCTGATTGACTTGCTCCTTTTTTCGCGGTTGGAAAGTAGAAACTGGTCGTACTCACTTTTTCGCAGAGAAAAGAGCCAACGAAAAGTGTGGCGCCGCCTGAAATTATACTGCGCATGCATGTACTCGAAAAAATTCGCTTCGCGCGCAAAAATTCGCCTAGTGAAAAACAGGCTTTAAGGCCGAGGCCAATCAAAATTTTAATTGCACAATAAATGACAGAATCAATCTATAAACTATGAGGTTGTCATCTTATATACTTCTTTTCTGATATCCTTTAAATTGGTAGTCTACGTTTTCAATTTACCCAGTTCCCAGAAGAATGAACAAAACATGCACAATCATAATAAAAACTCCATTATAAGTTTGAAAACAATTTTCAGAAACTACAGACGGATCGATGAACAAATGGATACTTAAATTACTATTGATATCTTGCTGTAATATATTATGTTTTATTGTCACCTTTCTAAGTTGTCACCTCGTCTGTGAAACCAATATTAGTAAGAATAGGTATAACTATGATGACACGTCTATATATAATTGTCAATTTGTTAGGTTTAATCACCATGACGACGACAATATTATATAGTTATTTTTTTAATGGAATTATGATCCCAATATCACAAAGTAATGTTCATAGACACGTCTATATTTGTTTTAAATAAATCATCAAGATTAATATATATGTGGCTTGCACATATTATGGAAATTATGGCACCGATATCACAAAAAATCTTTATGTTGCATTATTTTATATTCCATGTCTAAAGGATTATTGTTTTAAATGAATCAACAAGACGCCGACTGGTAATATATTGACGCCCAAAAGAAAATACGCAAACTCTCTGAGAGACTAATGAATATAAATGTTTAAAAATGTATTTTTGGAAATTTAAGCTTGAACAGAATTTTTAACCAGTGATTGCCAGGCAAGATAGGCCCACATTTTGCAAAAGATGGATAGAGAACAAGCCAAAAACAAAAGCGATTTTTCGTACAATTAGGAGCCATAATCCAGAAAGTTATGGTCTGAAATGCGCAAATATCGAAAGGGGCTGAGATCTTTGGGATATAAAGATATATTTTAAGTTTCATCAAAACCGGATAAACATTGTGACCTATACAGGGTCCACAACCTTCGTACTTTTACACACTTTACGTACAACGAGTCGCCATTTTGTCGGGTAGTTCGTTTCGATTTTCTCCTTCATTATTGTGGAACAGTGATATATTTAAACGTTTTGTTTTCAAATTGGACAAAAAAATTGTGACCTCTAGAGAACCCACAAACTAAAAAGCAGGGGCCGTAATCTTGGAAGTTACAGTCTGATAAGTGCAAATAGCGAAAGAAACCAAGATCTTTTGGGACATAAACATATATTTTAAGTTTCATCAAAATCGGATAACAATTGTGACTTCTAGAGGGTCCACAACCTTGGTATGACATACTTTTTTACTATTTGCGTACAAGGAGCCGCCATTTTGTCAGGCAGTTTTGGTCCGATTTTCATTTTGTTCGGCTGTTTTTGTTCGATTTTCACAAATTCGAACTCAACCATTATCAGGGTGTAACGGTGATATATTCACACGGTTTTTAAAATCGGATCAAAATTGTGACCTCCAGAAGAACCACAAGCTAAAAACGTGATTTTTCGTACAATCAAGTGCCATAATTCAAGAAGTTATGGTACGATTATGCGCGAATATCGAAAGGAACCAAAATGGGACGGTATTTCATTGGCAGCAAGGGTAATAATCCCGTGACAGGTGAAAATCGAAATAAAAGTAGGCACACTTACTGGTGCAAAAAAGCAAGTCGTTAAACCCCATATCATTTCATTTCATTTTACCTCCTAATTTCTAAATTTTAAAGGCTTTTCTTTGTATTTATTTCGGACACGGATATGCGTGCAGTTACAGTTCCGATCTCAGTATAGACTTAAGATCCATTCTAATCATAAATATAAGGCAAGCTAACGAATGTCAGATGATGATTTAGAAATATATAGGCTTAATATTCTCTGATTCCATTACAATTAACATATTTAGGATCTAACATATTTCTAAACTGTTTTCCCCCAGGACCTTTAACTTTGGTATCTTCTGACCAATGGGTGCTTCTAAAATGATTGGTGTTGTACATCAGAGTGTGTTAATTGGGTGTGTCAATTTGTGGTTTACGTAAAATGTAACACGGCTTCATAAGAACAGCGACATTATGCAAAACACATCTTTAAAAAAGCTATGGGATCGGGGAGATTACATGACGCTTCTTTCATGGCTGATCGTGGACCAAAAATAAACCAGCGAATTACATCAGTGATTGTTAATATATATTTAGTGACAAAACATTTTTATACTTACTAAATAGGTGAGATAGGAAATCCTGGGTAAGGATTGGTTGACTACAAATTTAAAAGCGACACCCGTCAACATGAGTGTGAAAGACAACTGCAATCGATTTTGGGTTAAATCAGTACTCACAGCAAACGTTGCAAATGATAACAAAGTGATTAATAACTGAAAAAGTAATTAATGAAAAATAATAAACGTGTGCGATAATTGAATATAACTATTAATCTTTTAGAGGCATTTAGTCACTGGAAGTCCAATTACTGATTTATTCGGGCGACGTTTCAAAGCGTCGCATATCAGTAATTGTTCTTCAATAAGTATGTTATGTTCCACATGGTATAGACACATCATAAAAAAAGACACCAATGGGATGAAATTGCGATTCGAAAGTAAACCCTCCAAATTCTCGTATGAACAGCTTTTGTCCATATTGTGTATGTGAAATATTATATTAATCTTGCTAATGTCAATTGGCGTTTTTTGACCCCAGGCACATATTTATTATTACTAATTGAAAAACATCTCGTTACAAATCCGATATTTTTACACACTATCCCATATATATATTTTCCATCATTATAACTTTACATAGCATAGCTTTTTTTCCGTAACAGGGGGTCTACTAGGATCACATTCTGAATAATTTCAAGCTGAAAGCTGCACGAGTCATCAAGGTGCTTTTAAATAAATTAGTATTCGCCTCTGAAATGACATCAACATACATAGGTGGTAACGCCCTTCCAGCTCGAGTATTGTGCTTTTGGTTCTATCATTATCTCTTCCCCAATCCCATCCTAAAGAGGAGGACTCCTGACGGTTAGAATATCAACACAGCACACTAAACTGCGTATGCTGGTTTTCATTAGCCCGGTTGGTGCTGAAATATAGTTTTACGCTGTGAGTATATAGTTTATGTATATCACTGTAGGACGTTAAACCCCATTTCATTTCATTTCCGTTATGCGGAGCCGGAGGAATCAATACCGGTGTTGGCCGAGAAAGTTCATCGGGATTTTCCGGCGTGGTTTTCCCTTGTCAGTGGTGCAGGGCGGATGTCCTGACAAGGAAAACTGTCTAGTCGTTCGGATGGCACGAGAAACCGAGGTCCTGTGTACACATTGGCGCGCAAGTAAAATATCCCTTGTCAGTTGGAATTAGATATAAGAGTAGGGCATAGCGCACATTGTATGGCGTATGCCCGTCTTCATTATCCCATAGTCGGAGCAGAACAATAGGACGGTAAACCCCATTTCATTTCATTTCCTTATGCGGAAGATCTGTTTTATACATTACTAATGTGTTTCTTACCATAATAAGAAAAATATTCCAGATAAAAAATCCAGGTCTTCTCGCAGCATGACACATAACTAACATGGTAGGATGACGATCTCTAGAACTGGTGTATTCTTTAGTAGACACCTTCGGAAACATCTCGACGTGTTCATATAACCGCCATTCCTGTTCATCGACAAAACTCTGTTTATTAACACTGCTGAGTTCCTCGGTTTCCTCCACTAAATCTACTTCTAGTTCTGATAACTCCGAGGATATCGTCAGTGATAGCTCCTGCAAGAGAAGTAATATGAATGAAGATATTGTTTTAAATGTCATTCACCATTTTACTTTTGAAATTGTACCCGAGAGACAGAAGGTACAATAGACATTGTACACCAAGAGACACGAAGTTATCCAAGCGACCGAAAGTACAATAGATACTGTTCACCAAGAGACAGATGTACAACATAATCTGTTCACCAAGCGACCGAACGTACAGCAGAGACTGTTCATCAAGAGACAGAACAACATAATCTGTTCACCAAGAGACCGAAAGCACAACAGAGTCTGTTCACCAAGAGACTGATGTACAACAGAATCTCTTCACCAAGACAGGGAGTACAACATAGTATATTCACCAAGCGACGTGGGGGTACAATAGAGTATGTTCACCAAGCGACGTGGGGTACAACAGAATCTGTTCACCAAGAGACGGGTAGTACAACAGAGTCTGTTCACCAAGAGGCAGATGTACAACAGAATCACACTAGATTGCCTAGATGACTTACCTGTGTATCGAATGGAAAATGTTGTAATTCCAGATTTTCTATAAAAACGCCTTTAACTCTCCGACATTCAAACACTGATATTTTACCATCTGAGTTAGTTTCAGCATATCTCCACACATCTTCCTTAGCATCACCTAATACATTCTCTATATACAACTGTGGATGCCAGACTGAATCTTTATTGTAATCAGCCTGAAACGAGAACGCATGGGGAAAAATAAAACAATCAGTTCTTTAGACACCAGTTGTTTACTACTCTATCTAGATTAAATGTTATTTTTAAAAAATATTATGCGGAATGCGTTGACCTTTGATTGTTCCCGACAAAAAGTATAGTTGAAATCCGCAACATTCACGACTTGAAAATGCTTTATCTGTTTAAAGATGCCTTCCCGCGTACAAACTGCGTGATTTCATGATATATTTGGACTAAAAACATATTCAAACTAATTAATGTATGAAACAATTTGCCTTAAATTTCCCTCTCTAAACATTGTATTCGCGATGAAATACCCAAGATATAAGATAGAAGCCATATTTATCATGTAACTGGATTGAGGGAGAGCCCACTTTCAGAATGTATCTGTCTTCACTTACTGTCCATTTGCCATACATATTGAAGTCTAAGTAAACTGTTGGATTATCTTGTGCCAACGGCTTTTTCAGCCGTTTGATTTAATTTTGTATAACAAGAGCACCCTAAGTCAAGCTGGCAGACAACAATAAGCCGTCGGGTTGCCAGTTAGTGATACCCTGATATTTTTGCCCAGTGTTTGCCTCATGGGTGTTTTGCAGGGAATCCGATATTTTTCTAGTAAAATTGGGCGTCTCTACTTTTCATTTATATCAAATTTGTCATACTCTTATTGGAAATAACTACCCTATAAATACTGTCTTTAAATGTGTGGGTAATATAAACAACGTATTTTGTTATAAAATAATTCAAAACAAAAGTAATATTACTATTCGTGAAATCTTTTGATGGCCAGGTGGTAGTTGCCATCTTGCTTGATAAAATATATCTGCTGCATATTTCTCCTTTAATGTGTTAATTTCACCGATTTTTAAGAATACTAGCCGTATATAAACTTTCACCTGGAAGTAAACATATATATATCTAAACATATAAAAATGTACTCATCACCCTGGGTTCCTCGTAGCAATCCATTCTTTATTCTTTTATTAGACAGAACAAGGTCACCAACTGCTCAACAGAAAATTAAAAATGCAATGTTAATGGCAAAGCCATGTAACACAATATAATGAACCAAATGTGTAAGTGTTATCAGGTGTTCTATAAAGCTTAAACATATCCCGCCTCAAACAGGGTATTAAATAGTTTGCAGGGCTATTAGACCTGTAATATCAAGTTTACCATTACATCCACAGTTAATATTTAATTAATGTTACTTGGAGAAAACCAAGCAGAAGCATTCATAATTGGGTTTGAGTTTTTATCACTGTCCCTAGATAATATGTTATTGTTATTCAATTGTTGCCGGATTTCGTATAACGTAATAAAATAATTTTCGTTTCCTAATCTGTTTGTCAGTTGTCGGTGTAACCAGGCATTGTATATTTTAAAGCCCTTTTAAGGCTGTCGTTGTCAATATTTAATAAACAACACTTGGACAATGTCCAGATGAAGTCTGCATGTCATCATCTATACAATACAGTTGTTGTTATTGTAACTACTCTAGCTCGCTAGCCTGAAGGTCGCGGGTTCACTCCCGATGTTGGCCGAGAAAGTTCATCGGGTTTTTCGGCATGGTTTCCCCTTGCCAGTAGTGCGGAACGGAGGGTCTGACAAGGACAGCTGTCTAGTCGTTCGGATGATCCGAATACCCGAGGTCCCGTGTACACATTGGCGTGCACGTAAAAGATTCTATGGCAGTTGGAATTCGATATAAGAGTAGGACCATAGCGCCGCTGTCCGGGCACAATTTCCCTTATAGCACACTGTATGGCGTATCCTCGTCTTCATTAGCCCAGTCGGAGCAAAACAGTAGGGCGTTAAACCCCATGTCATTTCATTTCTTGTTGTTACTGATGTTGGATATTGTAATGTCATTTTGACCAGGTCAGACCTGTTCACAAAGATCGTCAATATTTAATTTATAACACATTTGATTAAGCGGATGATTACAGAGTACGGAGATGGTTATCATTACTAAAACTGTTAATTGATCTTTATCATACATCCATTTGTCCATCGGCAATAATGATATTTGATATTAATGACATTTTATCACTACACATGTATAATGAATATATTGTTCTTTTGTACAAACAACGCCAACTCTACATCTGACAAACACATGGTGACTTTTAACGAACACGGGATCCCAGTCGGATACATTATCGATCACTGATAAATATATCTATCAATAATAATATTAAATGTTGTTGAAATCCTTCATCTCATTTAGGGGACAATATCTACATTTTTCCTTCCTGTGTGTTTCTGTGTCACCCAAAAGCGGCCGACTGAATTTGAATAACCAACGGAGTCGTCGACGAAGCAGTCCACATAATGATGTAATTTCACCTCGTATGGCGCTATACGGGGCAGAGAAAATTCAGTTGAACAAATCTGAATGGTTTAAAAGAACAAAAAAGCATTTATAAATTGCCCCTCATGCTGTGAATTGCGTTGAAAAGGTGTTGATATATTTCGATTTTGATAACTTACTTCCAAGTGGTTTAAGTATAATTAAAATGTTAGCGTAAGACCTGAGTTAAGTGCCGCTCCACACATGTTATGTTGTAATAAAATTGTTTGAATGTTGACACTTACCACATCTTCTTTGGGGTTAAAACATCTCTCCATTTTCACCACCAATGTTAATAATTACACAACTTTAATAAGTAAGCTATTCTAAGGCTACATAGGACAGGCTATTAGGTCCATTAAGAAACTATTGTAGTCAACAAAGACACGTCCAAATTAAAATTCAACAACTTTAGTGGGCTATTACGTACAGAAAGGAGAAATTCGTTTCAAATCTCCAATATGAAAACTTTCAATATTTACACGAAAATATCAAGCGTATCAATTGCGTAATAAAGTAACAGAATCGGTATTCCTTCTCGGAAACCTCAATAAGGGTGCTCTAACACATAATGACATTCATCCGCATCAGTGAAGATGTCGCACTTCCTGGGTTAGAAATTTCTCAACCAATACATGTTGCCCAAATGGTGCCGAAATAAAACAGGCACTCCAGCCACAGAATGAACCAGTGGTGTGTTTGATCAATATTCGTTTTAATAAACTCCCTCCCCCGATAAATATAGCACACTGATTGATAGTGATTTAAAGGGACATACAATTGAGTGAAATATAGACACACATAACAACAATTGGGTATAGAGGGTTGTAAGGCTGTTGCCATGGCTATTGTTCGCAGAAACTTTCTGTCATAGAGATCTTTAATTTTAATTAGAGATCATGCATGAAATTTTGGTATTTGATGACTTGGTGTCGTTTTGTATTAAACTGCATCAATCGTTCAGCTGGAGTATTTGATATCTGTATCAAAATTTCTAAAGCAATGTTTAAGAGGAACTGACATTGGATACGCCCAGGCTCAACCATTTTGGGAAAAGACTTGGCCGCAGTAATAGCAGTATACTTAGATATAATTATTTCTTTTTTTTCCATTTAAAAAAAAAATAAAAAGAGTTTTGTTTCTTTGTTTATTTGTCGGTTTGGTATAAGAAACCAAACGGTTAAATTATACACATGTAAATAACTTCTGAAAACCAGTCTTGCCAGGAATTAAATGGTTTAATTATTACGCTTTTTATTTTTATTTATTTTTTTTAAATATTATTTATTTACGTATAGAATTACGTTAAGTGCATTCATATTCAAATTTAAATAACATGCATTTCTGTATAAAGTTTTCGTAAAAGAGGTTCCTACAGTACACAGATCTATAAATGAAGGGTAGTATTAAATGTAAAACCATCAACGTCCACTCGGAGCGAACTAGGTCATTTCGCGACTAACGTATGGTTCAATTCTATTTCAATAATTCGATTACGCGTAGGGATCTTAGTGGGAGGAAACGGAGGATCCGGAAAAGACCCACGCGGTTGTACAGGCGATCCTAATCCTTGTCACGTACAAGCGGGGATTCAAAACCACGCCACTTTCTCAGTGACAGAACTCATGATGCAACAGAAAAAAAACTGTTTTAAAAGGACCTCATAATAACCAGTTTTACAAGAAATCTAACGATAATATTTATTTTGTCTGGCATTTTGAATTTAATGACGAAATTGACAATTATTGCGTGACTTTGCGTTATTATGGATGTTACAAAAATGTTTAAAACATACACATTTTTAAAAGAAAAAAACCCAAAAAACTTGACAGACGAAAAACACATTCCACAAATTTTAGGACTAACCCATCTCGATTAGCCTTTTCAAAGCAGTGACGATCCCATAGAAAATTTTCACCATAGAACACTATGTGGCGTACTCATTAGTTCAGTCGGAGAAGAGCAGTAGTACGTTAAACCCCATTTCATTTCATGTTATTTCATATATGGCATATGCCTTTAGAAGGTAATTTAAAACAATCTGAACAGAATGTCTCTTTAATGCTAAATGCTATTATCGAGTACATACGAGCTGCTACAATATATGAGTAAAAACTTGTTAGCTGTATAATATGAATAATATAATAGATAACTAGATAATATACATGTATACTAATATACCCGACATTATTACAGCTTTCCAATAAACAGCTAACAAAATAATTTTTACAAAAAAATCGATTCTAATAATCGGTCTAAATTCTAATTCCTGTTTTCTCTGTAAGTTTGAATAATATTTTATTAACTTGCCAGAAAAGAAAAGAAAACAATAAATGATAACGGTGAAATTCGTACATTAACCAGATATTTGTTCAGAATGAAAGTATTGCGAGAATATATTTCAACTAAGTTCAACCGGAAATCAGCGTGACCCATAACAACGCAACGTGTCTTTGTGATAAAAAAAATGACCAGATAATGGACAATTATAATAAATTAATTCGCATAGCGTGTAGTATCTAAAACTTTTGAAACTTAAAAATAACTGACTAAAACAGGTAAAAATATTTTGCAAATATTATCATAAGAAATGGGAGATCAATAGGCAAGAGTAATAATGTTCAGGAAAAGCCGTTATACTCTTTATATTGAAGAAAGAGAAGAAGAACGGAACGTGGTACATTATTGTCTCACTTCTTTCTAATAATTATTTTAATATAAGTATTAGAAACGGTTGGTTTTATCATCAGTTTCAAAGAATATCGTCAACAGTATAATGCCGCGTTAAGGCTCTAGTAAATAATGTTCAAAATAAATCTAGAATCGCCTAAAAAAAATATCGAAAATTAAACCACAGCGGCACTGGTCTACCCCTTACACGAGTTCGATAAACTCATCCAATAAAGCACAACGGAACTTGTACAGTTCGTAAATTGGAAGTCAAAATCGCTAATGTTATTGTATAGTTTAATCGCGTCAAATCGAAAATTAGTTCCAACAGGTGATAGCATCCAAAGCACTAAAATGCTTTAACTTAAAGAAGCTAAATCGCTAATATGTGGAAACTAGAAATTGGCACAAATGGGACGTAACACATATAATAATGTAATATGAATGTATATAAACTGATTTACATTCAATCGTTTCTGTCTTTACTGTAATTTGTAATCAGTTTAGAAGTTTAAAATCATATAAAAATTGTATGATAAATCTTAGTTATATAAAGGAGGAAAATAAACGATATCCAGATGACGAAGTGCAAGTTAGTATGCAAATGTCGATTACAATATTACGAATTTATTCTGATGTGAATATTCAAATACAACACAAGATTTTACCACGGTAATATATTTAAAACGACCGATCTGTTTTGCTTCAAGGAAACAAATCTCTTTGATTTAGGGGGATGGGGGGTGCGAATGTATCACAAGGTCTGTCATTGAGTCAACTGGCGTGGTTTCGATTCCCCGGTTGTGCGTGACGAGGCGTGGGGTCGCCTGTTCAACCTCGTGGGTTTTCTCACCATGTGTTAGTTCCGAAATGACCTAGTTTGTGTGTGTGTGTGTCTGTCTCTCTCTCTCCCTCTCTCTCTCTCTAGCTTATTATGTTGTGAAACACACAAAATGAACTCTGGTTTTTATATAGGCACACCAACATATAACAGTATATGAATAAACACTTTATTTTAAACCAGAGCAAAAAGGGGGATAGTAATTTTAAATCGTGGAAGCCCGATTAGGAAGTTAAACCCCATTTCATTCCCTTTTCATTTCGAGAATATCGAAAACAGGCTAGATAATAGGTTGAAAACGATACAATCTTACAATAATGGATGATTTTATCTACGTACTTTTTTATTACTTTAACAGCCTAATCATGGTTTTATTTGCCTGACATAGGGCTGTTTGAGTGATCAGTATTTAGATGCGATCGGGTTGGCGTCAATCCAACATTCCCACGTTATCGGCTGCTCAGGGTGAAGATACACCGAGAAAAATAAGTTGGTCAAAACTGAGTAAAACTTACCCATTTGGGTGAATTATGAGGATATACTCAGCTAGACGAGTCTTTTGACTCCTATTGGGGGTAAATAGGTCAGCTACGACTTAGTTAATTGAATCTGTGCGGACTCTTCTGAGTCGCCAACTAGTCACTTCCTAGTTATTAAATAATGTGCGAAGAATTTTTCCTAAGTGAGTCAAGAGTGAGTCCTTCCGGTTAAATGAATTGCGGGTGGAAGTTTTTGGCAGCCGTTTGACGAAGACTGGAAGCTTATTGACCTCAAAGAAAAGCATTGCATCTACAGGTATCTACTGTAAAAAAAGGTGAATCATTTGTATGTTTTGTTAAGAATAAAGCTTTATACAATATTGTGTTTACTGTTGTACAGATTAAGCCACAAATATGGAATAGGCCACTGATTTTGATATTCATTAAAAATTCAAATTCAAATTTATTAAATCGTTCCTGACGTTTAAGAAATCATTATTACCCAGTTAGTGATTTATCTGGAAACCTTTAACTGCATGGCAGTAGAACAAATTACAAAAGAAATGTCACTTTAGGCGTAGAGTTCAAGCGCATTGGTGTAGGCTTGGCTACTAGGTTGATATGATTGAGTCAATAACGAGTCGCCATGTAGTTCACAAATGAGTCAAAGCAACTTTACAAAAAGAGTAGGAAAATAAGTAAACAGTAAATCACAACTGCGTCAATAATAGATCACTATTGTATTTTATTATACTTTGCCAATAATATGATAGTATTTTCGTACGTCTAACAGCCTTATGACTAAACACTGAAGATGCATATTTAAGACTAAGAACTAAATCTACCTATTTTAGGTCTTCATTTTGGCTTCAAATCTTATATAAACTATAATTTAGATGTTTATTTACATGACAAACCCATAATCAGCTCTCTAGAACATCGAATGACAGTTTGTGTAGTACCGTTGCTACGACAATAAAAAAAACTACGCTACATCCCCCAGCACTCATAACTTCGCAGAATGAAGTAATTTGATTGAAATTTTTAATATTTTCATTTTTCATTATCTATTTTTGAACTACTATAGCAAGAGCGCACATCTCTTTATCTAAATCCTACATAATGCATCTTAAATGGGCTGTCGGGGTTTTGCTAGTTTTTATTGTATGTTAACTGATACCAAATCTCACAAGCCATTGGGAAATTCACTTGTAAGTTGTGTTGGGTTTTTTTCAAAGCTAGCTGGATATCCTACTGTTAAAAGAAGACATAACGAAAATGTATTGTTCCACTGAAATGGTAAGTAAACTAGACTTTTAAGTTTCACTTAATTCTAAGAGATGGGTGTAATGTTATTTGACATTTAAAGTAAACCATCAGCTTAAACATCAGCTGCAACTTAAAAATATGATTAAAACACTGAACTGTTTATGTTAGTCTGGGAAATTTGTTTTTGTATTATTGTAAAAACCAGAGAAAGTGATGTCATGGATAAAGAAAAAACTTATGGAATTGGAAATGCAAACGATTTCCTAGACTTGTTAATGTGTTTTGGGAACATTAAAGTGATTCTTAGTGACCATTTACTATGTCTGTATAAATTAAGTACAAATGTATTTTATTTATAATATTGTAAGTTGCCAGAATAAAATACCTTTATGGACCACCTCATTTTTAAAAAAGAAA